ACCTCGCTCCATATCCTACTTTTTGACATCTCCTGAAACTGTTTCTAGTATGACACTTAAATTAACAAATACATTTTTTTACGGCCTTTTGGGGAAAAAAGGAGCACACATGTAGAGTGCCAAGACTCAACTTTCTTAAAACGTACGTTGCGCATAACTGGCAAAGAGTAAAGACAACTTTATCGGTAGAAACTCACTAGTCCAGCTCCTTTTCAGGTGTTGAAAGTGTTGAATTATTACAGTACAATACATAAATGAGGCAATACAAAAAGGAATCATTTTGTAGAAAACTCATTATTCCGACTCCTTTGAAATGGTTAAAAAGGTTGAGTGATTCTTTCTACCACCACGTAGTCCAGATAAAAAAAATGCGTCAACACCAAATAGCGGAGTTACTATATCAGGTACTTATGATAGCATGCTGGAGAAATGAATATTGTGTTCATTAACTTACAAGCTAGAAAGGCATTATTTGGGATACAACAATTAGAAAAACCTTTAATAGTGACAAAGAGCTTACCTGTTCAAATTTCAGAATTTTGGCACGGCCTACACCCCTAATAGAGACTAATGCACCAATCTCCAATTTCTCAACCTGCATAGCAAAGTGAAGATTCTCTTTAACTTTGGGTTCTGTTTGATAAATGTTACAGCAGCAAAGTAAGAAAACTAACTTTCTCTATTGCAACCAAGCAACCGTATCTAGCAGCAAAAGATGCTTCTCCTGATGTATCATTGATGGCTATAGGATCTAGAACAAAGTGCACAAAAAACTTCTTCTTCTTGAAAAGAGACTGCAGCAATGAGGAGGAAAAAAACTGTGATTAATGTAGAATGTTTTGATAATCACTGCTCATCAAAATGCTATTGTTCAAGAGAATATGATGGATTGATTGCTTCTCTTCCCGAATTTCAAACAATATCTATTTCACATTTTATACCAATAATTCTCTCATGCAAAGACTGTCGAGGGGATCAAAGTATCTACGACGCAAGCACATTGTGCAGGTGGTGAAATAGTAGGAAATTGTTTTTGAAACAATCATTAATACAGAAAGCTTGCAGCTGTTTTATCTAGATAGTTATGTAGCCATAAGCAATGAGTTATTCGCGTATATACAAATAAAACATATTAGCATGTCATAACTCAAATATGAGTATTAGAGAATGATAAGAAAATACTCAACCATTATCATTATCTTAAATATCACATATGAAGATGAAAAGTTTATATCGTGCACCTCCTCTAACAGCGCCAAGTATCTTGCTTCATACAAGTGTAGTGTCTTTGTCTCTGAAGGGACTAATACCTGCATAACAAAGAGTTCCTAGAGTGACTATCTTTACTTATTTTCACTATCAACCTTAAGATAAAAATACACACTAAAGGAGCGGAGGCAGAAGCTGAGCTGTGGGATCGGCCGAACCCAGTAGTTTTTGCTCAAATAGTGTATTTTATGTTAAGAAATTCATTAAATATGTACAAATATTAAGTTTTAGAACCAAGTCATTAACATTTGAAATCGTCATTCTACAATTCAGAACCCATAAACTTATAATCGTGGCTCCGCCTTTGCACACTAAACATTCTTTAGCTTGAGCTTTCTATTGGTTGCAAATAGCCACAAATTTGACCAGAAAAATGCAAAATCTCAGTACTTAACCTCTCCAGTGTACTTAAAGAAAATGATAAACCAAAATTTATGTAACTTAAATATTTAATTTAGAAAAGACCCTACAAAATATAAACTCCCTCCATTCTAAATTGTTTGGTATAGTTTGATTCGACACGAATTTTAAGAAAGAAATGAAGATTCCCAAAGCGTGTAGTCTTAATGATGTCATAACATTTGTGCGACTATAGTTTATTTCAAAGTTGTGATCTTAAATATGACACAAGATTTATATGACTATAAAAGCTTCTCATTGACGTAAAATGGTACTAAGTCAGTTGTTTCCAAATATAGATATCTATCATTCATTTTTAGAACAGACTAATAACAAAATAGTATCAAACAAATTGGAATAGAGGGAGTAAACATGATATACTAAATGGAGAAAACTCAAATGAGAAACGCCCCAAAAGTGAAAGAAAAAGAGAACCCAGATGAGAAAAACAATAAAAGTAATATTCACCTGGTCAATAGGGAAGGGAAGAAGTGGCAGCTGTAAGGAGGAAGCACAAGTGACAAAACGACATCGTTTCTTATCTAACTGAGGAATTCTGCGAACAGAATGAAATGGAAAGGAGGAGAAGCAAAATAAAATAGTGGTGGAGTTGGGCTGCACCAATTGTGTTTTACTAAAGGTTGATGGATGAGGAAAAGATAAGCTGACATTCATCTTCACTGGACTGCCTCTCGCTCAGTGTTTGAAAACGAATCAAACATTATATATGTAGATGAACGTTTTAATACTTTTTAACATTTCTAAAAAAGAAAAGTTGAAGCCATAATTTGAAACTTTTGAGTTAATTATTCTAATGCAGAACTAGTATTTGAATCTTATGAAGTTTGAAATTATAATCCAGTTAGTGGGTTCTAAATTAATATTTTATATATATTCATTAAATTTCTTAATACAAATACAGAGTTTGAAAAAGAGCTACTGGATTCGGCCTAACCCGCAAACAGGATTGTGGCTCCGCCTCTGTTAATCAACAATTTGTACATAATTTAATATTTTTTTAAAACAAATAAAGGGTTCGGACAAAAGTTATTGGGTTCAACCGAACCCGTATCCGAAAACCTAGCTCCCCCTGAGACTACAGTTTTTGTTCTTGTTTTTTGTTAAGCTTTGATAGTGTGAAAGTGTTACTGCTTGGTGTAATTGTTGTTATATAGTTAAAAGTAGTTAGTAAGAATTCATGTAATCAATTCTAATTTATTTTATATTGAAGAGATATTATTATTTTTTATTAACTTTTTCAATACTGACAAACATATCACTTATTCTGAACTATTAATTTTATTTAAAATATGTACTACTATTACTTAGTAAATAAGTTATTTACAACACATGAAAACTTTTGACTTCTTTTGGCAATTAGTGATAGAAAGGTAATACTACAAACTTAAACCTTCCAATGTTTTACTGAACTGAGAAGTGTAAATGGCTTGTTCAATGAGTTACGTTATTTTTATTCCATATCAAATTTTTGGCTACTTTATTATGTATAATCAAAATTAAATATTTTCTTATCGTCTCAATAATCTTATTTTTTTTATTGGTACGATTCAATTAATTTTTAGTAATTTATTTTTAAATATTACTTAAGATTCTAATAATTAGCTTTAACATAGCACATAAAAGAATTGAAAAAATATGCACAAGGAGGATACGGAGAAAATGACAAAAATGGTCCTTTCTATATGAGGGTAGTCTTCCTTTAAGTATGCTCATAGTAATTTTCTTCCTTTAAGTTTGTATAAACTTAACACTTTTGGTCTGTGAAAAATTTAACGAATTTTGTCTATTGAATTTGACGGGAACCGTAAAAAAAAGAAAATTTAGAGGTATAATCTCACATATATAGGTATAAATGATTTTGTAGTTTTTGTTATTTTTGGTATATTTCTAGAGTATGATGTAGTTTTTTAACGTCTAATTTTTACTTTTTTTGTATAATTTTTTTGTTTCTAGTGCAATTTTAATTATGCATTTTGAAAGATTTGATAGAGCTTTCCAAGTGTTTATAGCCTGGTTGATCAAGTTTCTTTGGCTGCTTTTTTTATTGTTGTTAAAAGTGTTTTTTTTTAGGTGTTCGGACAAACCTTTGAAAAGAAAAAAAGTGCTTTTGAGTAGAAGTAGAAGCAGTTTTTGAGAAGTAGAAAAAAATAGTTTCGCTTCAAAGGCACTTTTTGAAAAGTACTTTTGAAAAAAATACACTTCGAAATATTTTTTAAAAGTTTGGTCAAACACTAATTACTACTCAAAAGTACTTTTTAAATTAAATAGCCAAACACAAACTACTTCTCCCCAAAAGTATTCTTTTTTGAAAAACACTTTTGTGAAAAGCACTTCTCAAAATAAGCAGATTTTAGAAACTTGGCTAAACATGTTATTAACGTTAAATCTTTTTATCATAGTTATTATCAAATCTAACAAATAGAGTTCCTTAAGTTTCACGGAGACCAGAACTATTAAGTTTTACTCCCTCCAGTCCACAATAAGTAATTATTTTACTTTTTTATTTTGGTCCAAAATAAGTAATCATTTTACCTTTTTATTTTGGTCCAAAATAAATGTCTATTTACATAATCAAGAAGGAATTAATTTTATTTTTTAAAATTTGCCCTTACCGTCACATAGTCAATGTAACAATTAATTAAGGTTAATTTAGTGAATACATTTTTTTTTCTCTAGGACTTCGTATTTTCTTAACGGGTGTGTCAAAGATAAAACGGAAAAAGTTCAAATATGCCCATGTACTATACGAAATTGAGCACATTTACCCTTCGTTAATACTTTAACTCAAGAATGCCCTTACCATCACATAGTCAGTCCATATATGCCCTTACAGTCACATAATTAGTCCATATATGCCATTTTCGAAACGGAATCAACTCAAACTAGTGTTTGTAATAATAAAAAAGAAATAATATTTGTAATACACTTTAATACAATTAACGAAAAAACTAATTAGTTTGGGTGGATTCCATTTCGAAAAGGCATACATGGACCAACTATGTGACGGTAAGGGTATTCTTGAGCTAAAGTATTAACGAATTATAAATGAGCTAAATTTCATATAGTATAAGGGCATATTAGACTTTTATCGAAGATAAAATAATTACTTATTGTGCACCGGAGGGAGTATCAAACTTAAAAGGGATTATTTTGAGCATACCCTTAAACATAAGCGACTATTTTTGTCATTGCGAGGATTTCCTTTGAGCTTAAACCAAAGGGAGCAAAGTGTAGTTTTCAGAAAACTAAGGGGTAAACTTCGAATAAAAGTTTCTCTTCGGACCTTCTTCATCAATTCTTACTTGTTAAGAAAATTCCAAGTTTCAAGACGAAACACCATTGAGGGCAATCACAATAAACTACTGGATCCACTGAATTTTTTTGAATGCTTAATCAAACCCACAACAAAAATACATATAATTTGTATAAAGAAAGAGGAAGAGAAAAAAAGCAAGTGATTGTATAAAAAAGGAAAATGGATGGACCACCAGAGAATGATGTTTGTTCAATATGCCATGGCAATTTCCATGTCCCTTGTCAATCCAATTGTTCCCATTGGTTTTGTGGTGAGTTCTTCTTTTTTTTCTTCATCTTTTTTATTATTTATTTGGTGTTTATAACTTGCTATTATGTTGCTGAAATTGGAGTTGAAGATATTTTTTTTTGGTTTTCTCGATGAGAAATGTAGAATGGTGAAAAATTGAGAGTTCCCCATTTGCTTATATTAGGAAATTAAGCAGTTCTTGTATTCTATTGTGGCAAAATTTACATATTGTTTTCATAGGTTTTTATTCTCTTGATGGAAAATGGGAACAAACGTTACTGAGTGACCCACTTGCTTATATTGCAGATTTTTGTAATTGATATTTGGAAAAAAAATATCAGATTGTTTTAATGGGTTTGGCTGAGAAACTCAATTTCAATTTGAGATATACCATGTTTTTTCTTTTCATTTTTGCGTTAGTGGAAGATGGGGTAAAGTGAGAAATTGAGAGTAATATACTTGCTTATATTGAGAAGTTAAACAGTTTTTCTCTTTAGTTATGGAAAACCTCAGATTGTTTTTGTTGGCTTTGAGTGAGAAATCCCTTTTCAGTTTGAATATACGTATACGTACACATCATTTTTTTTTAGTGTGTGTGTGTACACTTTTGATATGTAATGTATGTGTTTATACAATTAGGGCACTTAAATGCACCCACACCAAATATGTGTTGGGTCGTCATGGGTGTGGCAAGGATTTTGAAGGATCTGACTCTAAGCAAGGTAGAATGAATCTCATGCTTTCCTTCCTTAAAAGACTCAATATTCAAATGATTACGAAGCCTCTAAATGTTACCCAAACACTAGTTTTTGCTTCTTGACCTGAAACGGTTTTGATGTTTCCCTCTTCTCTTTTGTTTTGTCAAGAGTCTCTCTCTTGTTCAAAAGAATGTTCTTTAGACCTATATTCCCCTCTACTGAGGACCTTAGGAATTGCTGAACTCCAGTAGCTGATCAGAGTTTGTAAAAAATTATGTCTCTGTGAGGCGTGAAGAAGTTCTAAGAATTCTGATGTCTCTTGTTACCAGGATTCTCCTAAAAAAAAGAAAAAAAAAGGAATGGAAATCAGTAATATTTCCTTGGATGCAGTCAAGGACATTTTCCTTGGCTTGTTATTGAGGACATTTTCCTTGGCTCGTTATTGAATCAACAGGTTTCCCTTTATAAAACAATATTTAGCGTGCAATAGTATTTTCTAATTATAATAATAGCTGTCAAGTAATTGGGTTAGTGATACCTAAAGGACTTCTGTGCCACTAAGATGTTAAATATAAACTTAATTAAGAATGCATAGAATTGATTCAACTGAAAGCATCACGTACTAGTGTTATATAAAGGTTTTCTGCGGGTATGTGCTGATGTTTGCTACTTTCCTTCACAAATATGAGTATGTGTACTAAATTCTAACCTTGGCTTCCTCCTTTCAAGCTAATTGCATTCTACAAGTTTGGGATCATGGATCTGCCCTTCAAGCATGTAAGTGTCCATTATGTCGCCGTCCAATTACGTTGTTGGTTCCTAGTGATTCTGCATCAAGGTTGCACCGAGATCCTGTAGTTCCTGAGGTTTTACGAAGGATTGAACACTATAACCGGCATTTTGGCCAACATAACAGCAGCCTTTTCCAGGTAATTGGCATGTCACCATTGCATTTCCTTTTCTTCACATGATTTTCTGCTACACTTTCTATCAGCAACTAATCTTTTAGCAACAACTTTTCCTTTTTCTCTTTGTTTTCTTTTTTCATTTTTTTGGGATGCGGTGGGGAGGATTTTATTATTTTCTTCTATTATTGTAAGTCGTGCACTCAACCTAAAATTGTTGCTTGGGTTGACATTCTTGAACAATTCGAGGAAGCATGGGCTGAAAAGTTAGGGGGAGTATGAGTTGGAAACTAGTTTCTAGTAAGGGTGAGTTTGTCTTGCACCTTGAATAGTTGAGACACCACTCATTTGGCCATTTGGGTGTTGGAAAATTGTTTCTTATGGTTATATTTGGGAAACAGTTGTTGAGGTGTGACTGCTGTAAAGACTATGCATAGAAGTGCCCCTGTACCAGACTGCTAGTATACTTGGCTAATGATTTGTTTATGTTCTGCTCCAGCTTCGTATTTGTGTTTGTTGAGGTCTATTTTGACAAATTTGCAATGCTATCTCTTAAATGAATAGCCATCTTTGTCTCCTTCGAAGAATAATGCACTGGTCGCTATTCTCATCTTCATGGAAACCAGCAGAGGAGATCGATCGAGCATTAACTTTTTGACTTACTTGGGTGCTACAGATTAGGGCCTGTTAGGATTTTTTTTTTGATGACCGAGAAATCCGTCTGGGGTCGATCCTTTGGACCAATCGCAGCCTTCGAAACTCGATGGATAATGGGCCCACCCCTCTACCCTTCTCCACTTAAATACCAGGCTTTGCTTTGCATGGTGTGGGGGCTTGAACCTGTGACCTAAGACACAAATCCACCACCCTTTGCCACTTGAGCTAGGCTCTAGGGGCAAGAAAGATGTTGTATCTACGAGAAAGAGAACCATGCTCCATTGAGAGGTTTCCGATTTTTCTAGTACTTCTTTTCACCCTGTGTATAACTTGCCTGATGCATCTATAGCCAATGTAGTTTCACCTTTCTGTTAAGAATTCGATTATTAGTCCTTGTGCATCTTATAACATGTAAACTGACCACAAATGTTGATCCTCAGTTGAAAGATGATATATGGTCTTTGTTTTGACAGAGAGTGCGAGATCTTCCCTTTCTCCTCAGGAGATTGCTGCGAGATATGACAGATCCTCAAAGATCTCTTCCATTTGTCATCAGGGCACGTGTCTATTTGGCAGTTAAGTTTTCTTCCCTATTGCACCGACTACCACTTCGCCATTCTTGTTCTCCTCTGTTGTTCTTCTTTATATTTTTGTTTCCTTTTCTTTTAGAGAGGTAGTATATCTTTCTATGTAGAACATTTTCCTTTAATCTCAATTTATTTTCTTTCAACTCAAAGCTTTTCAATCTTCTCCATTAACAGTAAGATCTATGCTTCTGTTGCATTACTATATTTTTGTTATGGTCTAAGTACAGCAGGCACTATAGTACATTATCATTTGGAGTATGATAATAGATGTATGCTGGGGTGAGAGATGGCGGTATTTTGTTTGCTTTCCGTCAAGCATTTCTTGCAGAAAGTAGGTTCTAAACATCTCTGCTGTCTGCATGCCACATCATTTTAGAATGATGATCTGGATACTAGAGGGAACATAGAGGGAGTTGTGTAATAAAAATAGATGTGCAAGCCATGAGTTATATGTAATTTCAGTTGTCTCGTTCACATTAGATTAGCTGAATTGGATGTTTAATGCAGTCAATCACAAATAGTCTCTTTTAAAGAGTGTAAACTTTTTAGATGATGTGCAATAGAAATCAGAAGGTGACAAACTAGTTTATATTAGGTTCTGAGGGATGACAGAACCACTTATGTATCTCTCCTATGCTAGTTTGATGACAAAATCATAAATCGGCACTTTATTGAATACTACAAGAACAGTTAGCAGTGTTTGAAGTTTATGTTTGACCATTTGCCGACATTCACTAAAGGACCCTTTAAAAATTAGGATGCGTTTCCCTGTGTTCTCCCTTGGGTGTTAGACTAGGATGGAGTCCTTTTCACCTAAGTTGCTCGAACTCTTCACTTTCAGTGCCGTACCCGTGTCGACACGACGTGGGTGTGGGTATGGGTGTGGAATCCGTGTCGGATCTGGTCAACCGATTTTGGGTACTTTGACCAAAATCAACGAAGAAATTTGGGACAGATACAATGATTTTTGAAAACAAATCAAAAGTTAGGGTGATATGGAAGAAAATGGAATACCTTGTATATATAAATTTCTATGTCTGTCCTTTTCCTTTTATTTCCTTGTAAAATTCTACTCTTGTTCAATATTTTCTCCTTCTCGGAATACCTTGTAAGTTTTTCACATAATTATGTCTCGTAATTTAGACATATTTTTATAACTCTATTTTTAAATAATTGAATTATTTTTAGCCGAATCCCCGCACCTGTATCCGTACCTCTAGATCCGCATCCCCGAATCTTTAAATTTAGATCGTGAAGGATCTGACCTCTAGATCTGCACCCGTATCGGACACCCGCACCCGAGTCCGAGCAACTTAGCTTTTCACAGCAGTCATCTTGAACCCAATTCTCCTAAGTAACTTGGAGAATTAAAACTGGTAAATTGAGTTTGTGTTCATCAGTTTATTGAAAAATAAAAAACAAAAATTAATTAAAAAGACCTGCCGAGGGATGGAAGTCGTTAACGTTAACCTTTCCCATCTCTATATCTTACATAGATTGTCTAAATATTTTTTGATTTGCAGGTAATTTTAAGTGGAATATACGTTCTTAGCCCCGTGGACATTATCCCAGAAGGTAAAGGTTGAATTTTTCTCTCCAATAACGTTACCGTGTTGTTCAGTTTATGACGATTCTTGTTTCCCTTTCTGCAGGAATTTTGGGTATAATAGGTTTACTAGATGATCTGATCATCATGTTCATCTGTTTCCTGCATGTTGCTGCTCTGTATAGATCAGTACTTCTGTTTCGCCATGGAGGTTCTTAAACACTAGCATCACACGACAACTGCAAAAAATGAAGAAGAGACAGATCATGCCAGAGATGACAACATTTGCTTGTTTCGTTTATTTTACTCATTCTATTTGTATTTTTGACACATGACCAAGCTCTGCAGTACTTGTGGAATTGCAAATATAACTCGTTGCAGTCGATGACACCTTGTCATACTTGGAACAATTCTATCATCTGACGTTGTTGACTCAATCCTCGTTAATTAGCATCTATTTGGACGACACCCAGATACATATTCCAACATCCTATTTAACTCATCCATGGATCCAAGCCAAGCACATCTTCGGGCACTCAAATATAAAAGCTTTATACAGTTTGTTGAAGAATGTCTACATATACAGGTTAGCATTAATGTTAGCAGTTTTTGGCTCCAAAAATAGCTGGTCCTTTGCAGCACAACCTTGTCGTCGTGTTCATGTTGTTGTTGATCCTCAACATCCATCTGGACAACACTCAGATACATCTTCTAACATCCGCTTTAACTCATCCAAGTCCATTATATCCCATGGATCCAAGCCAAGCACATCTTCAGGCACTGACTGATTAAAGCTAATCAAATTCATTTGAGACATATCAGCCACATTTGAATGTTCCACATGCGCTGAATTGCTCTACTTATCAGGCACCGACTAATCAAAATTATTGAGCCCAATGTCACCTCTGGTTCTAGTACTGCTGCTAACGGCTCAACAATATCCACTGCTACATCAACCTCGGGTACACCATCTAATATCTGATTTAAGTCGTCCAATTCCTATCCATCCCATTGATACAAATCATCAGGCACTGCTAGTTCTGGCATCTCAAAAGTAGTCCCTTCAGCTAGTTTGTCAACACTATTATTCATCATCATTGATTCTTGAAAAGCCATTATTTCGGAGTGTTCCAAATTCTTGCACATATTATAATAACATTTGCAAGTATTAATAGCCAACAAGTCATCAACAGAACTCGTTACCTCATCAGTTCTATCGGAAACATTATTAAACGTCGTGATTGTGGAAGTTTCGGATGAACTGTTAACGTGCTTCAGTTTCTTGATGGCGCAGAGAACATAATCTCTACAGTCTTGGTCGAACTTGTGAAGAATAACCTTAGAAAGCTCGTACTCCTTCATCAGCCAATGTCCATCTTTCTGATCTTCAGGGTAAAACTCTTTATTTTTGTAAGACAAATTTGTCTTGGATCCAATATTAACCACCGAAGATGCGTTTCCCATATTTTTGTAGTGAACTGGTTTGCCCTTGTTGTCCTGTTTCCAAGTGCCCTTGTTTCTGACAGAACGATGAATACTCGCGTTGCTTTTCTTCTTCAGCTTTGTGATGAAATAGCGATAATTGGTGTTGTCATCGTCATCACTAGAGTGTACATAGGTCGGGTTGGTTCTAATTTTTTAATTACCAAACCAAATCATTATATCGGGTTATTAAATCTAAATAACAAACCAAACCAATAAAAATTGGGTTTTTTAATCTCGGATTTTTCGGGTTTCCACCCCATAAAGTCTTCATAGCACAAAACGTAAAATTTGTGCTCCAAATATTTCTTTAATCCTAGTAAGATAGAACTATATAAGGTGTTTTTTAACAAAATAACATAAATATGAGATGAGTCATGACATTGTACTAAAATATTCAACAATAAAGATAATAAAATTGCATAAAATAAATATTATTAATAAGCCATAATGAAAAAAAATATAATTTAAAATTACGACTAATAAGTACTATTATTTACATGACTAACCACTAAAAGAAAAATAAGTTATAAATTTTATCTAAACCATGAAAAAACTAAAAAATAGATATCCAACACTATTTTCATTCATAGTACAATAATTGAATTGAATATTTTATTAGCATTAGTATTAATTTGATTTTGGTTTAGGATTTATTTGAGTTACTAACATTTATGGACTATAAAACTTATTGGAGCATCCAAATATTATAAGCCCAAGCTTGAAATAATACGTTAAAAGATAAAACTATGAAAAAGTTTAAGAAATATTTATAAACTACACTACAATAAATTTTTTTATGTATTAAATATATTTAAAACTTCTATACATATAATATCGGGTTGGTTTGGTTTCGGTTTAACTTTTTTTAGTTAAAACCAAACCAAACCAAATATGGTCGGGTTTTTTTTTCAACACCAAACCAAATCAAACCAAACTATGGTCAGATTTTTTTTTTTTCGGTTTGACTCGGATTATCGGGTTGGTGCGGTTTGTCGGTTTCATTTGTATACCCCTAATCATCACCACAGGGTACTCCGTTGTCGTAAATCTCCCAAGGTTCTTGTTTGCCATAGACATCAACGTTAGTGGTGATAAATCCAGAATCATGCATCTCTTGTCCAGCGACGAATCTCAACAAGAACATAAGTCCTTCTGAATCGGTGGGACGGAAACGGAAACCCTCTTGACCAACCTGTTGTAACTGCTCCATAAGAACGTAACTTTGTTCTGAATATTTTACCTTTGAATGACAATGAAACAAAATTAAACTGGGAAGAGAGCGAATGAGGTTTGCGAGTATTACACTAAATTTATAGATATCTGTACCTCCGTTTATGAAATTATTTCTTAGGCACCAAGTAGGGCTTACATTCTGTTCACTCTAAAAATTGAGTAACAATTAAACTTATATTGTGGTTTTAAGGATATATGATTTAAACCGGTACCAATTGATAAACAACAAATTAAATAAATAAATTGGACAATAAAATAAATCAAACCGGTCTGCGAACAATACCTCGACCTCGATTCGAGATAGTCTCGAGGTTAGTTAATAAAAACAGTAGAGGATGGAACAAACATCGATGAACAATAGGTAAAACAAAGAAAGCAGTGTATGTGTATATTCTTATCGGTGAATAATGATTGTCCTCTACAAGTGAATGAGATCCCTCTTTATATAATAGAGGAATCCTAAATAAGGTACAACTCTAATAACGGAAGTAGATCCCATGATTGACACTAATAACCGCTTTGATTTGATCTGTTTCGGAATTTCCGCCATGATCTTCGACCGGTTACTGATTTCTCGCCATTCCGTTATTACGCCTTACTCGAAGTCAGTCATGCTTGATCTCGATTGTTGCTGGCCTCGATCTCAATGAACACTTCGATCTCCAGGCTTGATGTTCTATCTTTGAGCTCGAGCGTGATCTATTATGCGGATACCCTCGAGGCAACTCTCCTGCCAACGAAATCAGGTATGCCCGATTTCGACCGTATACAGATAGTCCCCTTGTTTTTTGGAGTGTAACGAGAAGAAACGAATTCGAGACTTCGATTTAATACCTCGATCAATTATGACGTCAACATCGTGACGTAAGCGACAAAAGCGATTGAAGCGTCACGTCTGCACAGTTCCCAAGGTCATTAATTAACGCCAGTTGATGGTCGGCCACCAATAGTTTCAAACCATCAAAGTGGCTATTATAAATAGACCACCTTCATAATCTTCTCAAACTTTACTTTCAAACTTCTTCTAATCTTCAAAAGCTCTTCTATTTTCTTCAAGTTCATCAACTTTGCCGGTTTCCGTTTGCCAATCTCTTATTAAAACACAAATTCTGCCTTCTTCTTTCTTAAACCTCATATAGCAATGGCACAAACATCAAAGACCATTCCTCAAGAATAAAAGGCCTCCTCACCGCGGCCGACCGATGACAAAACACCGGTGGAGCCACGTATCGAAGAGTGCATCTCCGGGCCATGTGAACTTACTTCCGACTTTAAAGTCGAAAAACCCTCTTCGGTTCCTGGCTGATGCGAGCCCATGTCTAGATACATCTGTTCGATATCTGAAGGCGATCTCGAGCAGGTGAAAAAAGACTGCCACTGGGAGAATAAAGAGGTGGTGATTCCTACCCCGAGGAGGACATCACCACTCATGTGAAAGGGTTCTTACGTGTGTATACTTACCCTTTCATACTGGGTTCCGTCAATCCTGTCATAATCAACTTCTGCCGCCAATACCGGGTAACCCTAGGCCAGATCTACCCCTCTTTTTGGTGCATTATAATTTTGCTCAGATTCTTCTCGAGCAAGGTCGAGGGGATGCCTTTCACCCTCGATCATCTCATTAGGCTATACAACCCCCATCTTTATCGGGGCAGACTGATAAGGCTTCAGCGCCGGGCCAAGAAGGTGCTGTTCTCGAGTATAGACGAGGACAAGGACCGAGGATGGATGGGCCGGTTTGTCCGAGTCAGGACCTCCGACTTAATCCCCGCCGAGAAGATGCCATTCCCCGAAGAATGGAACATGAAGCGTAAGTAGAACCTCACCGATAACGTTTGATTACTTGTTATGTTTCCTTTACCTCTTCTCATCTATATTCTTCTTTATGTTGCAACTTCCCCCTGGTTTCCTGGTGCAGTCCCAAACCTTGCAGGTTGGGTTCGACAATTGGTTTCAACCTCTTCGTATGCTGAGCGCTCGTTGCGCGATTTGGCCAAGGGTCGATGGGAGGCCAAAACTCATGGTAAGTTCCCCTGTCCGTGTTTGATGCTTTCCTGTGAAATACTTCTTTTTAACTTGATTTCTTCTCATACAGGTCTTGGAGATAATATCGTCATGAGTCCCGAAACCGACCAAAGATAAGAAAAGGAGAAGGGCCTCGCCTCCAGATACCCCAAAGCCCATGAAAAGTAGGGTTCGAAAGTCGAAGACTGATCCTGCCGTTCTGTCTACCGATGTAGTCCAAACTCTACGAGATGAAGACGAGGAGGGAGAAAATGTTGACTGCCTACTGGTGGCACGGAAGAGGGAAGGAATCGAAGCTTCAAGAACTACTGAGAAGGTGATAGTCAAGGAGGTTCAGCCGCAGACCGAGGTGATCTCGGAGGAAGGTCCGAGTAGAGACCCCGAGTCATCGGGTGTTGATGATGCCTCCTGCCGTGATGAGCAACCGGCGGGTGTGCCCAAAGGGTCTAGTTCTAAGGCCCTTCAAAGAGAAGAGAATGCTTCAAGTGACTCGCTCGGGGCAATTAACATTGATGATTCACCGCCCGGCCCCACATTTTCTGAGGGGCAGTTTTGGGATGCCCGGTCCATGGGGACCCCCGATGTGGGACGGCCCCCGAAGGGGATGATATATTTCGTGGCTGGTTCGCGGGGGTCTATGATGTTCCCGACCTGGATGCATCACTCATTTTTGATGAGGCTCAGCGGCTTCTGAACCAAGTGAGTTTTATCCCATGTTACCATGCTTGC